CAGGGTCACGCTCACTCCGGGGCTCCCGTCAGCTGACTATTTTGGGCTCTTGCTGACCTGGGCCAAAGTCAGGCCCAGCCAAGAGGGCCCTAAGGCAGCTCCCCCATTCCCCAGAGGCCGGCTCTTGTTTCTGCTATATAAACAGAGGAGGACACGCTGGCTTGGAGACAGTTCCACATCTAGAGCCTGCTCAGCCGGTGAGGACAGGCTGACCGGGCAGTCACGTCTCCTCCTGGGCTCCCTGAGGCTGTGGGAAGAGCCCCACCAACCCTGGATTCTCCCTTTGTTGTCCAGGGTCGTTAAGGAAGAGAGCTGGTGAGTCTTAGGAGTGGGGACACTGAGGCACAGGAGCTGGGCTCTTTGGATTTTCTTTCTTTATGACTATCATGTCAAATCCTTTGGGCCTTGAGATGAGAGGGAAGAGGAGGAAGCAAAGGTAGCTGATAGTCTGGAAGAGTGAGCACAGCTTGGCTGTAGTTGGGTGATGGAGTTGGACTGAGAATGAGATGTGGAAACTGACAGGTGACCACTCTCCTTCCTCAGAGACTACCGACAGGGTCTCAAATGTCCTCTTCCATGTACCCACCCTGGATGAGGCCCTCGTTTGCTCAGGCAGGGGAGGGATGGTGGGAGTGAGTTTGGCATCTATTCAGGGTACATGAGAATAGGTTTCTGAGTAGGGTCCCATGCTCCTCAGCTGGTCAAGACTAGTGGCTGGGCAGAGAGCTTGGCTTCCTGCTGACTCTCTGCCCCTTTCTTGCTCTCTTTGCCTGTCACCTTCCCAGCTTTTGGTGCCTGAGAAGCAGGGTGGGGAGTGAGGGCTGGCAAGTCCCCAGTCAGCTTGCCACAAACATGCTCTCTGGGACCTGGGCCAGGGGTTGGGGCTGGCCGGAATCGGTGGCAGCCTCTTACGTGGGAGGCTCTGTGTTCTCCTCCTTCTCAGCTTTTAAAAAAAATGTTTCCCCCTTCTGAACGTGAGTCTCTAAACGAATCCAGAGCCTGCCACTAAAAATATTTTAACAATAGGAAAGTGCATCAGGCTTTCCGGCTGGGGCTTGTTATCAGAGGGTTTTTGTTTTGGAATTTGAAGTTTTCCCTGAAGAGACTGGGTGGAGACCTTGGTCAGGGGCAAGGGAATTTGGTGGGTGGGAATGTTCTGCAAGGTGCTGGGGGACCCTCCAAGGTGTGTGTGGGACAGTTGCTGACAGCCGGAGGGGCAGCTGTGACAGGGTGCAAATGAGGTGCAGGGTGATCTTTCCCAGAGTAACTCTGATCTTGTCTTTGCTGTCCAGTTCTGTCTGGCTGCTCTTCAGCAGCTCTGACCTTATTCCTTGATGCTGTATGTTAATTTCTTCTGGCCTGCAAAGTAGGTGGGGTAGAGAAATAACTGGACTGGAGATAGCCTCTGCAGCCATAGCTTGACCTTTTGAATTAACCAGTTTTCTCCAGAGTGTTAATTGAGCACTTGCTGCATACTGAATCTGGAATTTTCCCATCTCTGGGCACACTTATATTTTCTCTCCCCCAGGCCTGCACAGAAATAGGGATGAAGTTACTGTTTCATTCTTGGAGAGGGTAGGTTGCTAGCTCCCTAGTCTGGCCCAGACTCTGGTGTGTCCATCCCTGCCTGTCCCCTGCCAGCTTCAGGATTCTGCTGCATGTCTCTGGAGTTTTACCCCAGATAATGAGTGCTTCATTTCAGTGTTCAGCTTCTCCCTTAGTGAACTGAATTCTCTCACCAGCAGGGCTTAGGTTGTTTGTGTTGGGCAGATGGGGAAGCTTCAGGCGCCTGAGGACTAGCTGGGTCACATGACAGACTTGCTGGCATCTTGCTGGTGCGAGATGCCTCTGATAGTTCTTCATCTCTTGCCCCTGCTGAGGTATGAGAGGGAACACAGTACCTAACCTGCCCTGGACCTTGGAAACCTGTTTTAGGGGAAGTAATCGTATGTGGTCATGTCAGGGCCTGGACTAGGTCCAGGAGATTTGAGCCAGAGGCTGGAGCCTGACCCCTCATTTGGGTTCCCAGAGCTGCCATGGGAAGCCCCTGGGGCAGCAGGTAGCACTTCCCTGCCCACAGCACAAATCCCCCTGCCCACTACCAGGGCAGGAAGAGGAAGTGGCCAGATGAGGCCTGGCAGTAGGCCCTGGGGCTGATGAGGGGAAGCTCCCTGGAAGAAATAAGGCTGGCTCCCTCTGCCCATCCTCTGCAGAGAGCATGGAGGCTGTGGATGGGGATAGCCTGATAAAAGTGGGGCAGGTGGGGCCCAGCCCAAGGGGCAGCATGGGAGAGAACTGTGTGATTCTGCTTCCCTTGGTCATCTCTTCACCTAGCTCTAAGCCCATTCTCTTGACTGGGGGGCAATAGTAGACATGGCTGCCCATTTGGGGACTGCCCTGGGTGACTTACTGTTGAAAAAACACAAAAAAATCCTCCTGGAAAGAAGGGAGATAGTGTCTTTGGCCTCATGTTGTTCATACACTGGTGGGGGCAGGAGATGGGTTGGGGCACCTGACTCTCTGGGCCCAAACACTGTGATGGCAGCATGGAGACCCCTTTTCTACTGTCAGGGATTGTGGCCTGACAACTCTAACTTCTAACTCTAGTTGTGCTGAGTATATGTTGATAGAACACATGTGTAATGAAAAACAGCCACTCCGATTTCAGAAATATACACTTGAATGAATTTGAACTTAGTCAAGTCCAGCTGCATCTGCATCCATTTATATAAATATGTCATTCCTGTTAGGTGTGGCTGTTTTTGAAATAAGCTTTTTTTTTTTTTTTTTTTTGGTGGGGAGAGTATAACATACCCTCGGAAAAGTGAACACTTCATAGGTGTAAGATCTTAGGAGTAGTTTGATGACTTCTTCAGCGGGAACACACTTGTGCTGTCATCATCCACATCGGGAACTAGAATGCCTCTAGTCCCACCAAAGAGCCCTTCGGAGCCATCTGCTACAGGCTGTCTGTGTACCTACTTTTGTGGTGCACTTACAAGAATCAAAGCTTATTGATTAACTCTGGAAGTCAGAGTTAAGTCATGGGTCAGCCTGAAACTGGGAGTTAGAGGTCCTGAATTTGAACCTGCCCTTGAGCCTGTGTTTACTACTTTATAATATGCAGATTGTAATTTCAAACACCTTCTCCCACCCCAGTGAGAAGGTGTGGGTGGTGTGTGTGTGTTTTGTGAGATTGGGGTTTGAACTCAGGGCTTTATGCTTGCAAAGCAGGCACCCTACCACTTGAGCCATTCCTCCAGTCTGAAAGTTTGTATTATTGAGAGTTGGACTGGCTCAGAAGGGCAGCAGAGTGGATGAAGTCCTTGGGGGGATTGGCAGGATTCCAGTGCAGGGAAGAGGAACAGTGTGCCCTTGGGTGAGGTAGCATGTGCAGAGGTTGGCAGAGGGAAGGATCAGCTCAACGACCTTACTTTAGGCTGGGTGGTGAGGCAGATTTGTAGGTTGGGCCATGGTGTGGGACCCGACTGGGTGGTGCTGGCTTGTATCTCCAACATGTCATCTTCTCTCCCTGCCCTTTCTGTGTCACCATGGTCTGTCCTTCCTTTCAGATCCTTGTTTCTAGTTTTGGATACCTCTCCCATTGTTACCTGCTCCTTCCTCCTCCCCCACCTCCAGTGAGTTGTTCATTCTGGTTTTGTTCTCGAAGGCTGGACTTGGAGGTTCATTGGAGGTCTCTGTCCAGTTGGGGCACTAGCTTTTGCTTTAGACCTCCCAAATTTGCATCAGTTACACCTTGCCTCAGAGTTGCACCTTAGCTGGACTCCACCCCACAGAGCCCCAGGCCATCCTCCCTTGGGGGCCTTTGACCAGCAGGGACGAAGCCTTGGGATCCCCTTTGCCTTTGCCTCTGTGGTAGGCTAGGTGCTCTACTCTGGTACCTTCATGTGTGACCCCAGCTGTGTTCACACGGACAGCCTCTGCTTTTTTCTCCTTATTTACAGGACTTACTTGTTTTTTGCTTTATTTTATTTGGTACTGGGGTTTGAACTCAGGGCCTTGCATTTGCCAGACAGGTGCTCTACCACTTGAGCCACACCATAGCCTAGGACTTACTTTTAGAGTGTGCTATGTTCAGACCTCCAAGAAGCCCCCACCTCCAGAAGTCTAGCCAGGTACAGCTGTAGTTTCTCACCCTCTGGCTTCAGATAAGACTGCAGCCGCTTGGGAAGTGGGTGTGGGTTGCAGACCCAGGGCTGGGATGGAATGCCGAGATTTAGACCAGGGACTTAGCTCCTTACCACATGGGATCATCCTGGGACTCATGGATGGGCCTACCCCACAGGATGGTCACTTTACTCAGAGGTAGAATAGTAAGGATAGAGGAGGATACTAGAGCTCAAGGTGGGCTTACCCCTCAAGGCTAAGGCCCAGCTATGGCTGGGCTTCTGCACACACTGGTTAAGCCGTGCTAACCCACCTGTTTTTCTGAATGGAGAAAGAGCCTGACTTGGCTGATTTTGCTGACATATTAAAATTGTTATTGTTTGAGGAAGGCTGGGTAGAGGAAGGCATCCAGGGCTAGGTGCAGGCTGGTGGGGGAGTCAGATGTGACACAGCTGGGCCAGACTTTGTGTGTTCTAGAGCAAAGGTGCCACTCTTCTTGGAACCCTTTGGTTCTAATCTTCAAACTGGGAGGACCTGAATTATAGTAGTGGTTTTCAACCTTTATTTAAATTGTGGCATCCTTTTCCACAAAACTCTAAGCAAAATCTTGTGCAAAAAAAAAAAAAAAAAATCCAAGAAGAAAAACTTTGGCTGAGCCAGGAGCTGGTGGCTCATGCCTATAATCCAAGCTACTCAGGAGGCAGAGATCAGGAGGATCAAGGTTCAAAGCCAGCCTGGGCAAATAGTTCAAGAGATTGTATCTTGAAAATACCCAACACACACACACACACACACACACACACACACAAAGGAGGGCTGGTGGACCGGCTCAAGGTGTAGGCCCTGAGTTCAAACTCCAATATTGCAAAAAAAAAAAAAAAAAAAAAAAAGGTTGTGTATGGGGCATCCAGTGCAGAGATGGGGTGGCAGGCAAAGGGCTCAGAGATGGGTCAATTTTATCTGGAATGGATGATGTTTGAGGTGCTTATGGGACTTGTGCAGAAGTGGGGGCTGGAGACAGGGTGTGGGAAGCTTGTGAGAGGAGGTGAAAGTGGAAGCCCAAAGCCCATAGTGCTCAGAGGCAGAGGGAAGTACCATGGGGTGACCAGATGAGATGAGAGCAGTCTGGGTGGAAGCAGCAGCTCAGTAAAGTGCTGACTTGCAGAGGAAAAGAGGAATAGGTGGGGGGGCCCCTGGTCTCCTCGCCAGTGGTAGCCTTTCTTTTTTCCTCTCCTACCTTGCCAATTAGTGTTCCCCAAGCTTGGGGCTGGGAGGGGTGACAGCCAGACCAGGGAAGGCTGCAGGTGGCTGCAGCCTGGTCTGTTCCCTGATTCAACTTTGGCAGGCCCTTCCCTGCTCTACGGGGCAGGTGGTAACTGGTCAGAGCTGCTCTCACCACCACTGCTGAAGGTGGGGTGGAGGGCAGGTGCTCCCTGATTGTGGGCCAGGGTATTGGCAGGAGGGCATGAAAAGAGCCCTTGGAGATGCAGTCCGTGGTCCTGGGTTCTACCCCAGGATATCACCATCTCCCTGTGTGACTTTGAGCAAGTGCCATTATTTCTCTGAGCTTGTTTATTTATAAAAAGGGGAAGAATTGGCACGAGTTTGAAAATTTCTCAGGCCCCACCCAGTTCTAAAATTCGGTAATTTCCCAACTAGGGTGCTCGGGAGGTTACTGGTGAGAAACCAAGATCAGCGGGAGCCCATTGGCCCAGTGTAGGCCTGGCAAACCCCTGCCCTCGGGAAGGCCAGATTGCCCACTGCCGGGGGAGGGGGGAAGGAAATAAGCGAGGGCTCTAGCTGCCGTCCCTGGGGCAACATCTCCGACTGAGATCCTACTGGGGAAGGCGCGTCAGGCACACCAGCCGTGCTCATGGTTGAGGTGGGGGTGCAGGTTCCCCAGTGTCCCGAGTTGCTAGTTCCAGCTCTCAGTCTGTCTTGGACGCCCAGTAGCGGCAGAGGGCGACACCCCAGGCCTCCAGGAGGGCTAGGAGAGGGCAAAGGCTGGGCGGGGTCGGGGAGAGCCGGAGGGACCCGGCGCGGGTAGCTCCCGGGACCTGCCAGCGGGCGATCGAGAGCATCACGGTCCGGGGGAAGCCCTGAGGGCGCGGCTCTAGAGTGCCTCCTCCTCGGACTCTGGCCTCCAGGCCTAGTTATTTCGGACCCTGAGGCCCGGGACTGGGTCCTGGGTCCGGCACAGGGAGCCTAGTGGGTCTTAGAGCTGCTATTTTTAGCCCGCGCTGAGGGCGAGAGGGAACTATTTATAGATCAAACAATCCGCGCTCCCTGCGTCAATGGAACCCCGCGTGCGTCATGCGCGCAGACATTCCAGGCCCCCCCTCCTCGCCCCGCCCCCTCGGGCTCCCCGTCCCCGCGCCTCCCTCTGGCCGCCTCCCGCCGGAACCGCGCCGCCCCCCGCGCCCTTGTATGGCCAAAGCTCGCCGGGCCGCGTGCGTCAGTGGCGCCCCCGCCCCTCTCCGTGCGTCACGGAGCGCTTAAGAGGAGGGTCTGGCTCGCCCGGGGAGCCCCAGTGGCAGAGGCTGCGAAACTTGGGGGAGTGCGAGAGAAAAGCTGCTGAGTGCACGCGGGACCAGGCTGCGACTCGGGCGCTGGTCCCGAGGAGGGGGAACTGGAGTCGGCCGGGTAGGTGTCCCCGCGGGGAGCATGCATCTGCTTTTAGGGGCGGTGCATGAAGGAACGGGTATATGTACTAACAGAAGAGATGTAGGGTCGGCTGGCAGGAGGGGTGTGTGGAGGGGTGTGTAAGCTGGTGTTGAAGGGTAGCGGTTGGAGCGGGATGAAGACCTACATCCGAGAGGAATCTACTGGACGCGGGGTTGAGGATTGATGGGTGTGTGTGTGAAGTGTCTGCAAGGTGGAAGCCACAGGGGGTTGGGGTTGGCGTCCATAGTGGGGACTTGTCCAACAGATGGCTGGCATTAGTTCCTTCTCCTAGGGTGCCCGAATGGGCACACGTTGCTCTGGACTAGGGTGCTGTTGGGGGTCCCAGTACAGTATGGGAGAAGGAGCTGCTGGAATCCACCCAACTCTAACTAGGATTGTATTTCCACAAGGGTCTCCTTCCCAAAGTATGTCAGCTCTGCTCCCCCTGTCCCAGTTGTTTACTTACGCTGTAGAGGCTGAGGCTGGGGATTCCCTACTGTACTTTCTGCCTGAATTGTATGAGAAGATCTCAGGATTACCGAAGGAATATGGTTAGGTTGGCGGTGGAATTGTGGAGGACTGCTTGCTGGGTGTGGGAATAAGTTTTCTTAGGGTCAGGGTCATGGGATCTGAAAGCACAGGCAGGATTGTTATAGCTGTGGCTTGGATCCTGTGTGTGTGTGTGTGTGTGTGTGTGTGTGTGTGTGTGTGTGTGTGTGTGTGTGTGTGTGTGTGTGTGTGTGTGTGTGGCTTGGATCCCGTGTGTGTGTGTGTGTGTGTGTGTGTGTGTGTGTGTGTGTGTGTGTGTGGCTTGGATCCCGTGTGTGTGTGTGTGTGAGAGAGAGAGAGAGAGAGAGAGAGAGAGAGAGAGAGAGAGAGAGAGGGAGAGAGGAATCTTTCAGGTAAGGTGCAGCCTGAAGCTTGTTCAGGATAACAGGTGCAAACCACATTGTTGCCAGGACCTTTGCCTAATGCCGGATTCTCCCACTCCCTCCTTTAACCCCACCTGTTTCCTCCTTCCCTGGGTGTGTGTGTGTGTGTGTAGAGAGAGAGAGAGAGAGAGAGAGAGAGAGAGAGAGAGAGAGAGGGAGGAAGGATCTTTCAGGTAAGGTGCAGCCTGAAGCTTGTTCAGGATAACAGGTGCAAACCACATTGTTGCCAGGACCTTTGCCTAATGCCGGATTCTCCCACTCCCTCCTTTAACCCCACCTGTTTCCTCCTTCCCTGGAACTACCCACCCCCAGGCTAGCTGCAGGTCCATATCTGTGTTGCTGAGTACCTGTATGAAGGGGTGGGGGAGTGGGTGGAGGCTGATCCGGATGTGGGACGTCCAAGTGGAGAAACAGGATTTGAATAAGGCTGGAATGAATGCCCAGTCTTGCGTGGCTGCTGCCTTTCTTCCTCCACCCCCAACCCATCCCTGCCCAGGCTGTCCTGCTTCTGGCAGACGTGGCCACTCCATCTCCTGTAGGGTATTGTATTCCTGTGAACAGTGCCACTGGGCAGGTGGGGCCGGAGTTTTGAGGGGCTTTGTTGTCTGGGTTGGTAGTATGTCAGGCCAGGGGTGGGACTATCCTGACTGGAACCCCTGGGAGGTAGGAGAAAGGCTGGGACCAGAAGCTCTTGGCCAGGAGGTGGTGACAGCCTTTGCCCCATCACTGCACCCCTTGGTTATGGTACACTGTGCTCCACCTTGGTTTCTTGTGTGGTTTACCTCCTGGACTGTTGAGGCCACAGACCTGGAATCAGGGAGGGACTGGGTCCTCTTCAGCAAGATTTTTGACTAGTCTGTGAATTTAAGGGTCTTCCTGAGTGATGCGGCCTTCAGGTGCCTCAGCATGAGGGATGTGTAACCCCCTTTGTCTGAGCTCTTGATGCACAGATAGTACTTCAGTGGAGGGACCCAGGCAGGGGCAGGATATCTCCCATGCACCTACCAACCAGCTGGCTCTTTCATCCTGAATAACGACCTCATGTCCTCTGCTGGACTCCAAGAGTTCTACTCATAAAAATAACCAAGTGTAGCAGAGGAATTCCACTGAAGAACTGCCCATTCTCCTGGATGTCCAGAGAGATGGTCTCTTGGCCTTCTGCCTCCACCACTCCCCTCTGCCCCCAGCCTCCCTGTAATATATGGTATTTAAAGGTTTGGAGCTAGGTCACCTGATCTCCTGAGTAGCTGGGGACATTGAAGAGGCCTGGGTTCCCTTCTGTTTTGCTTCTGGAAGCATCCCAGGCAGTACAGAGTGGGTACCCAGCCCCAGATGGCAGAACAGGGGTACGCGTGGGATCTGCTGCCTTTGCACAGCATGTAGGGTGGGGGGGGATGTGGGGCACCACTATATCACAGCTTAGCCACCTTCTTAGGCAGCTGGGCTTTCACTCCCCACTCCTCTTGCATTTCCAGGATGTCTGTCTCCCCAGGCACTGTGGGGGGAGGTGAAGAAGGGGTATGCAGAGGCTGGGGTGTGCCTGGGAATATTCCCAGGAAGTGCCTGGTTGGAGAAACAAGGAATCTGCTCCTGGGGGCTGGGCTGAGGCTCTCCAGGCTGCCTCTTCCACCCACCCTCTCCAGTCCCACCCATGCCTTCTCTGGTGGGGAGGGCAGGGCTGGAGGAACACAGCTTCCCCCTGTTCCAGCAGAGAGATGCTGGCTGGCTGCCTTCCCTGGGGTTCCCAGGCCCCCTGGGGTGTGGCTGGGCTTCTGACTGAGCCCACTTAGGTTGGGCTGCTGTCCTGGGCTTTAGGACACATAGAGCTTGGACTAGGGGTCAGGATTCCTACGTTCTGTGGCTCTGGTGCCTCTGTCCCATCTCTAGGCCTGCCACCTGGCTGTCCTGGGCCTATCCTTTGAGACCAGGTTTCAGGCTTCTTTCATTGACTTCTCTCCTCCCTTCCCTTGGGTCTCCTCTCTCTCTAGAGATGCCCTGTATCCAAGCCCAATATGGGACACCGGCACCAAGCCCAGGACCGCGTGACCACCTGGCAAGTGATCCCCTGACTCCTGAGCTCAGCAAGCCCACCATGGACCTGGCCAGCCCTGAGGCAGCCCCCATTGCACCAACTGCCCTGCCCAGCTTCAGCACCTTCATGGACGGCTATACTGGAGAGTTTGACACCTTCCTCTACCACCTGCCAGGGACAGCCCAGCCATGCTCCTCGACCTCCTCCTCAGCCTCCTCCACATCTTCGTCCTCAGCCACCTCTCCCGCCTCTGCTTCCTTCAAACTGGAGGACTTCCAGGTGTACGGCTGCTACCCTGGCACCCTGAGCGGCCCACTTGATGAGACCCTGTCCTCCAGTGGCTCTGACTACTATGGCAGTCCCTGCTCAGCCCCGTCACCATCCACACCCAGCTTCCAGCCACCCCAGCTCTCTCCCTGGGATGGCTCCTTCAGCCACTTCTCCCCCAGCCAGACTTATGAAGGCCTCCGGGCATGGACAGAGCAGCTGCCCAAGGCTTCTGGGCTCCCACAGCCGCCAGCCTTCTTTTCCTTCAGTCCCCCCTCTGGTCCCAACCCTAGTTTGGCCCAAAGCTCCCTGAAGTTGTTCCCATCGCAGGCCGCCCACCAGCTTGGGGAGGGAGAGAACTACTCCATGCCAGCAGCCTTCCCAGGCTTGGCACCCACATCCCCACACCTTGACAGCTCTGGGATGCTGGATGCACCTGTAACCTCAGCCAAGGCCCGGAGTGGCGCTACAGGTGGCAGTGAGGGCCGCTGTGCAGTATGTGGGGACAACGCTTCGTGCCAGCATTACGGAGTCCGTACCTGTGAGGGCTGCAAGGGCTTCTTCAAGGTATTAAGCTCCCGTGGATGCGGCATTGTGTTGGAAGTGGGGGTGGACTGGTCTCATCCCTTGGGAGTCTGAACCCTTCCCTTGGGTTCTCCTGCCAGTTAGTTCTGTCCCAAGGGAATGGGACAGGCCTTCCTGGTGGGCCACCTTCCCAGGGACCCACTGATACAGGAGTTGGGATCTTTTGTTCACCATAACCTGTGGGGTCTATTGAATTCTAATCATAATGGAAGGAGAGGGAGAATAGGGATGAGGATGTGGT